GTTGCCCAGGCAGGTCTTGAACCCACGGGCTCAGGCAATCCACTCACCTCAGCCTTCCAAGGCGCAGGAATCCAGGCTGAGCCACTGAGCCCGGCTGAATAATCTTAAATAGTATTCTATTTCTCACCTCTCAGCCTTTATGCTACTGATGTCATAGTTTTCACTTTTTTATTGTTATTATTATTATCATTATTAGAGATGGGGTCTCCCTCTGTCACCCAGGCTGGAATGCAGTGGTATGTATAGCTCACTGCAGTCTTGAACTGCGTTCAGGCAATCCTCTGTCTCAGTCTCCTGAGTAGCTGAGTTTACATTGGTGAGCTGCTGTGCCCAGCCATTGTTAATATTTTTGAACTTTGAGATGTAGTTAGTTACTTGGATACAGTTTGATTTTTTTCAGGTCTTGCTTTTATGATTTGTTAGGCTAGCCCAGAGCAGCGATTGCTATTATTTATTTATTTATTTATTTTAGTTGGAGTCTCTCTCTGTCACCCAGGCCGGAAGGCAGTGGCATGCTCCCAGCCACCGCAGCCTCGACCTGCTGGGCTCAGGTGATCCTTCCGCCTCAGCCTTCTAAGTAGCTGGAACTACAGGCACGTGTCACCATGCCCGGTTAATTTTTTGAATTATTGTAGAGATGAGGTCTCGCCAAGTTGCCCAGGCTGGTCTCGAACCCGTCGGCTCATGCAATCCTCTCATCTCGGCCTCCGAAAGTGCTGAGATTATAGGCATGAGCCACCGTGCCCGGTTAGTAGTGCTTATTCTACAGCTATTCCCCATTAACTGACTCTCTCAGACCTCTACTCAGTGCCTCATGAATTATGAGTTTTTCAGTCCGCTGGTGGAAGCAAGCATTATTTCCAGCCCTGTGTGAGTACTAAGCACTCTTCCTTCTCATCCTCTCAGATGGGCCTCAACTGCTGGTAGTTTCTTTTCATGCATGAAATGACCAGTACACTGCTGAATACTCAAAGGAGACCCTTACAGATCTTCAGGGTTCTCTCTATGGACAACTCTATGGACAACTCTCTTTTCTCTGACACTCTATTCTGCAAATTGTATTCTTTTGATCCCTTTGGCTTTCTCTCCTTAACTCAGGGAGTTCCACTGTATTTCTCCTTCCACAGTCTTGAACCCTCCCTTGACAGTAAGTGGGGGCAATCATAGGTTTGAGGTTCACCGCCCTTCATTGCTGCATGTTCAGTGTTTTTAAAACTGTTGCTTTATATATTTTGTCTGGCTTTTTAGTGTTTTTCAGGAGGAACGGGTAATTCAGTCCCTGTTACTCCATCTTGGCCAGAAGTGGAAATATTCAAAGCAGAGTTTTTGGCTACTTCTATGGGGAAAGTAAAAAAGTTCCCAGCACCAAAGCTCCTACCACCCTCTTTTCTGAGACTTGGGTTTCCCTAAGAACTCAAAAGGTTGAGTGATGTAGACCCTATTTGGTGAACGCAGCATTTGCTGAGTCAGAAACACGTTTTGTAAACCACGGTTGGTCATCCTCTTTTATGTGGAGAAATACAATTGTTCCTTGTGATATTTTGTGCTGCCTAGTTGGCGGTGGGCCAATGAAATCTTCTCCCTGATTGTTTGCTGTGTTACTAATGCAAAGATAGGGTGCAGATTTTTAACTCATCATATTTCTCTTATAATTTTGTATGCTGAATTCTGTTTGTCTCGAGGAAGTCACAACAAGCAGAATTCCTTTAAATTCTACTTCATAGCCAGGCACAGTGACTCACTCCTGTAATCCCAGCACTTGGGGAGGTGGAGGTGAGAGGATTACCTGAGCTCAGGGATTCCAGACCAGCCTGAGCAACATGGTGAGACCTTGTCTCTACGATAAATCAAAAAATCAGCCAGGCATGGTGGCGCGTACGTGTGGTTCCAGCTATTTGGAAGGCTGAAACAGAAGGATCACCTGAGCCCAGCAGGTCAAGGCTGTGGTGGCCAGGAGTGTGCCTGGGTGGCAGAGTGAGACTCCGACTAAAACACTATAAAAAATAAATAAATAAAATAAAAAATTCTACTTCACCTTATGAATGTCAGTTGCTGGGAGCTCCTTTCTGAATGGGAGTCTTTTGTGACTTGTCAAAGAATGTAGAACTTTTGCAAAATTTAATATTGTAAGGCACTATGGCTGTTATTGAAATAACTTTTTATAATTCTGTTTTAGGAATTTAGAGTAGGCTATTTTCTATCTAATTATCATGCAAATAGCTGGTAACAAACGGTTCCAAGAGATGTGACAGGATCAAGTAGCTGTTTGGCAAAGCAACTTTCAAGTAATTTCTTAAGATGTGTGATTATTTGTGAATATTCCACATAAGGAATATCATCCGAGCCATGACCACAAGAGTAAATAAGTTTTATGAGAACTTAGTCTCAGCTGCAGAACACATGTAGGTGAATTTATTGATTAGTAAAAGTGAGTCACTGATGGTTGGTGGCTGCATTAACTCAGGGCTCATTGATCACTCTGAGAATGAATGGGGCTTCCCTCCACACTGAGCAGGAGACGTTCTTCTCACCAGTGACAAGTCAAGCACTTTTTTTTTGTTGTTGTTGGAGTCTCACTCTGTCGCCCAGACTGGAGTGCAGTGGCCGCTCCCGGCCACCGCAGCCTCGACCTCCTGGTCTCCGGCGATCCTTCCGCCTCAGCCTTCCAAGTAGCCGGAATTACAGGCATGCGCTACCACGCCCAGCTGATTTTTTGATTTATTGTAGAGATGAGGTCTCTCTGCCCAGGCGGGTCTCGAACCCACGGGCTCAGGCAATCCACTCACCTCAACCTCCCAAAGGCGCGGGATTACAGGCTGAGCCACCGAGCCTGGCTAAGTCAAACACTTCTAATCACCCTCTGTACACACTTCGTCCCTGCCAGACAGCTTTCCCCTACAGCTAGTTCCTTCTATCCACTGAGGACAGAATACACATAGTCTGGAAAAAAGAGCTCGTATTTGCAAATACTGACAAAACCACAATATCTTTTTGTATACTTGGCTAGTAAGAAATATGACTTGTGGCCAGGTGCAGTGGCTCACACCTGTAATCCCAGCACTTTGGAAGACTGAGGCAGGAGGATTGCTTGAGCCCAGAAGTTTGAGACCAGCCTAGGCAGCATAGCGAGACACCTTGTGTCTACAAAAAAAATTAGCCGAATGTGGTAGCACATGCCTGTAATTCCAACTACTTGGGAGGCTGAGGCAGAAAGATCGCCTGAGCCCGGGAGGTTGAGGCTGCCATGAGCTGTGTT